ATTTCTGTCTCTGGCACAGGGATCCTCTGAATACGTGTCAGACGAGCGAGTAAAGTCACCTTAATAACAAGTTAGTTCGAGTAACTACGATGCACGATGAATTCTTGGCTACCTTTTCATGCAAAACTTCCATCTTCCTTCAGATTACACATAAGCCAAACGCGAACCGCGTTATTATCTCCAGCTTAATTTCACTGTGCAACGATCATACGTCGCATGTTCGTACCACCCGTTTATTTGTATTGCAACAGAATGGCGCGCAGCTTTAGAATTGCGCTAGTTCTTTCGCGAAGCTGTGAAATACTTCCTTACGCTTCCATAGTTCTTCGTAGTCAAGGAAATATGAGAGCAGTAACGATAACGTCGAAGCGTAATTAGTTTTCTTCGAGGAAACGTAAACAGAACCGATGACAGACCTAGTTAATGAACTTTGTTAACGTTTAGCGGAATGATTTTAACTCGTGATTGACACTGGGTATGTTTCGTCTCTTCAAGGTCCGTTCGCACGATGAATATAAGCCGTTCACTGCACAAACTGATTAACTCCACTTTTTGAAAAATCTTAAATTTAAGTTTCAAAGCAATTGATGTAGTCACAACTTTTTATATCTACAATAACTTTCCTGGAAAGGAACGAACTTCTTTCAATATTTATTTGAATTCATATTATAAAAGGAATATTCAAAAACAATGTACATTATTTCATCGCATTTCTCAGCTTTATGTTTCATAGAGTTAATCGATTTGTGCAATGAACGGCTCATATTATCTTTCGTGTAACGAGTAGCTGTATACACGAGCAAGAAAAAATGAATATATAAACCAATCAAGGAATAGTGTCTTGTATCACGAATATACTGATCGAATAATAATTTGTTCTTCTTCGAATATATAAACATAAAGTAATCTTCTTCAAAAGTTAGAAGAGAATTTCCGCGATAAAGGGTGAAGTCTCCAATTAACCACCTCCAGCGTGACGTATGAATGTCACCAGGCCTTGCATCCTCTGTATCAAAAGGTTGCAAGCTGTGTATCGTGTGCAAGCAAAATTACACGCACGGTCGGATATTAATTTTTCTCCGGTCGTTTGGGAACCACCAACAAAGCGTATAAGCGACAAAAGAACTGGCCGTGGTCGTGGCACGCCTACACCCTGTCCATTTGAACGTGTGAGAGTAAAAGTAACAGTGTTCCGTCGCTGTGTCTGGACTCGTTTTCTCGCGCTTCACCTGGTTGACGCCATAAATACGGGTAAGTGGGCAGAAGTTAAAGGTGAACGTTTAACGTCAAGGGGAAACGAATGTTCAAAGTCCGTAAACTCGAACGAGGAAGCTTGGGGATCGCGAACTTATCCCAGGGTGAGGCGATTGCGTAAGGAACGTGACGCAAAAAGCGAACAATGACGCGGAATGGACGGACGGGAATGCCAGTCACGCGGCGCAAATAAAGTAAAAAATTTGACGCAGGGAATGTGGGGCATAGTTAGCGAGATGAGCGAGTAGTGTAGGTACGCGAAAGGGTTGACATGGCCTCGGGAAAAGGGCAGAGAAAGTGAAATTGAACGTTAACCTCTTCAGGCCTTATGGACATTGCTATGTTGATGGAACTTGATATTTTTTTTTAATATAGAGAAATTCATTTTATTGGAATGAACAATTTTGTTATTTAGTTCGACTAAGGAAGCTATGATACTTCAAGAGGAGAAACGGTGTATGAAAAGATTAATAAATTTTAAAGGGAGATAGTAATGGCACAGGATTAGAAAGAATTAAGAAATTTTCTCGCCACATTGAACGTAACGTTCGATATTGAATTTGGAAAAATATCAAAGTAATAGAATATACTTTCTGGAGCGTGTCAGATTGCTCAAGCGCATCGGTTCAACGCATTTTTGTCATTACCATGTATCTCCAGACTGTCGAGGCGATATCTCGGGGATTACTGAACCGAATGATCCGAAACTCCATACGCGTATGAAGGTAGATATCGTCTCGCAGCCTCTTCCAGTGTTAAGTCGATATCTATAAATTTCCTACTTTTCTAGCTCTCCAAAAAATATGCAAATTGAAATAACATCGAAATCTTTAAATTTGTACGTTTTACATTTTATTCTGTTAGGAGCTATAGTCAGCCGCAATAATTTATTATTAGACTGCGGATTTATGCATTTATGTTACAAGCTAATATAATGAATCCATGCTAAACGTAACCAAAAGGTATGTGCACTTGTGCAGAACAAAATAAAAATTATATTAATTTGTAGAATATATTCAACATTCATTATATAAATATCTTTTTGCATGTTTTTCATATTATTGTATGTCATAAACGTACAAAATCCGCAGTCCATTTATTGTATTTATTTCACTTGTTCTTTTCCTGTGAAACGACGTCAAACGCGTGTCAATAGTATAATAAAAACAGTCCTGTTCGGGCAGCATATATATCAAAGCTTGGAACGTCACAAATATTTATTACAACGGGTTGCAAAAATTCAGGTAGTATTTATCGAAGTCAGCAAACATATCTCTAAAAGTTCACAACACAAAGTTATCGACGCCAATGGTTCGATAAATAAATTTACAAGTAATTCTGATTCTTCTCAAATAATACGTAAAATACAATTTAAATTTAAACTTTGTCGATACTAAAAAATAAAAGTCACGAACGTTTTAAAGGTATTTCTTGCGAGTGCTTAGAGTACCCATGATTTAATTACTACTAATGGGAACTCCCTCTTAAAGACGCCCGTCGCGATGCAAATTTATAGCTGATATAAACTGGAAACAAACACTTTGGAGAAATAAAGTTCGCCGTACAAACCGAATCGCTTAGGTAAGAAATTGGAACGGATAAAGTAATAACGCGATATTCCTCGGAATGGAGAGAAAAAAGGAGGAAGAAACGAATTGAATTTATAAGTAGGAGTCTTTCAGCATGCACTCTCGAAATCTCAGCACGCGGTAACAGAGACAATTAGGTTCCTGTCTGGCTGCAAATGTTATCAGGCAAGAAGTGGAACCATTTGAAAGCACTTTGTTTAGGACGTGGAGATACGTTACTGCTTCTATGAATTTTTACAAAATTTAGTATCTCAGTTTTTATGCTGTATTTTCTTATTCTTGGCCCTACGAAAATGAAATGAAATTAAGACGTCAATTATTGCATGAAGTACTTTATTTAAATACTGAGTTAGGATTGATCGTTACTCATTCTAGAAACGAAGTTTTATATTATGGATATTCCATGGTGTAATTATTTTTATCTCTAATTTATTTCTACATTCCCTTGCTTCTACATCAAGTCTGAAGATATCGTTGACGTGTATCTTCCGTCTGGCAGCTCGACCTCACTCGTTGTTTCGGTGAACGTTACAAAAAGTGTAGCGACAAGAGGAGTCTGTGGTCTGAATATCGCCAGTGATATTCAAGCACTGCAACTCTACCGTTACAATTGTAACGACCGTACACGAGTAGAATATCGACGTATTCTGCATTTGAAAACATACGTGTACAGTGAATAGAAGCAGACTAACCAAACGACACAGATTAAACTGCAAGCAGTGCAGTTTCGAAGTCAATCGAGGCGAAATTAACTGACTGCTCAAGGTTGCCGGTGGATTACCCCCTCCATCGTACCATTGAGCTATCCCCTCCATTACTCTTGGTGGATTCCAAAGTGGACGTTGAAGTTTATTCTATACTAAAAGGTTTTAAGAGTCTTCGTAAGTTTAGACAAGTCTAATTTTACTATCAGACTTGGGGTGTTCATGCAAATTAATTGGTACAGATAATAAATTAAAATTTAAAAAATAGTATGTGCTATGGTCTAAATACCGTAATGTGTGATTTATTGTTTCTATTTCATATATATTCTCATAGCTCCACAGTGCGAATGAGTTTTCTCGTTTCGACACAGTGAATGGATCAATTTTATTATTATCACGCGTAAAAATTGATAAATTTAATTATTTCTTTTCTCTTTGTTCTCAATACAATATCACAAGTGAATTAAAATCGACTGCAGGTCTCACGAAGGCTATATTTAAAACACCAGACTCAATAAACTTCTAATTACTTGCATTGATCCCTCAATCCGTTATCTTTCGCAAAAATGATCGTCTCTGTCGAATATGGCAGCATTAGTCGGCGGATTGTGGACATTATGGAGCAATTTCCGCCTGATCACGGGCCTCGTAAAGGCCTTCAATCTCCCCAGCTAAACCCGACACGGCAGTAGAACACGCCTGTCCCTGGTCAGACACGTGTAAAAATATAAGCAGCGAGAGAAACAAAGGCGCGACGGGAGTAGAATTAGCCGTAAACGCTCCAGCCGTGCAGAAACGAGCAAAACTGGAATGAGAAGAGTCCAAATAAAGGAAAAAAGGAGCACCTGTTCGATCTTTATCAAGGGAAGAGGCGCAGCGAATCGCTTGCTGATAAAATACAATCTCATATAAAACGAAACGTAAAATTACAATTCGTGCTTATAACCGGAAAAACAAATTAACAGAATGGTCGGTGAATTATCAAGCATTATTATCGAGAATAATGCGCGTGCTTTCAGGGCGCACAAATACAATTGAGGTGTACATTTTCATCAGGTTAACAGAGAAGCGTAAATGCAAATGACGAGTGATAAAAATATGAAAAAGGGATAGAAGAAGGAACAGGAGGAACGGATTTAAAACAAATAAAAACAACAAAGAAAGTGTACTTTAATAACACAGCATGTATTGGCTCTACACGCTAATACTTATTTTTGTCAAAAGTTTTAGCAACAAGTAGAATATTTCATGTCTTCCATTCATTTGCAATTGCCAAGATGGTCATCTGTGTATCCATAATTCATCCTACTCTCCATTATCTTCATACCCGCCACTGACGACTCACGAGACTTTCATTCCAAACAATCCACACCCCGAAAATTTATTTTCCCTTTCGCACTCCGCCATCGACCAAAGAACCGACCCAAGACCGCAACCAACCCCTGAAGAACAATCCGTATAAAATATCGAGACCAACCGCGACGCAGGTCGCCGATCAAAGGGCGGCGAGTCGTGATTAAGGGCGAAACGCATGAAAGAAAGAGCGATCGAAGGGGAAGGTTGGTGGAGAGGATGAAACAAGAGGCTCGCTTACACATGCAGGTCAGCAGGGGGTAGACCAGCGCAGGACAGGGCTTGGAACGCAGGAGCGCCTAGAGCCAGGGTGCGCAGGGGGATGCCAAAGAGAGAGACAGAGAGAGAGAGAGACGACGCCGCGCGTCGGACGGAGGCGAACCGACGACGCCGCCGTGGATGAAGGAGAGAAGGAGGGAGGAAGACGGCCGTAGCCTGGCGCCTGCGTGTTCATTCTCGAGGGCTCGCTCTCATCTGAAATCCAGGATACCCAGTCGCGAGCGCGCCGCCGACACAGAGCATTCGGAGGACGGAGGATAACGGTCGCTGACCTGGCTACCACCCGGCGAGAGGCGCAGTCCACCCTCTCTCGCGCTCGCTCCAATCGCTGGCACCCTTGCTCGCTCCTACCAACGGAGCCACAAGTTTGAATCCACGAGGAGAACCGGCCGGCCGGTCTGTTTGCCAGGAAGTTCGTTCGTCTCGTCGCGGTGTTCGACTGTCCTCGCTAGGCGCACCTGAGGGCTTCCAGCAGCCTCTCAACCTCAGGTGACCGTGCTTGGAAAGACTTCCTGCCAGGAAGACCAAGGTGCTCGGTCAGGGAGGCTCGTGTCCCGGGCGCCGGGAAGCCAGAGTTCAGGAGTAACCTGCGGGAGTATTGGGAAGTTTAGGAAGATCTCTAACCTTTCGCCTCAGGTGATTTGGAAAGACATTGGTGGAGAGACTTTGCTCGGGAAGACAAGATAGAGTAGAGCGATTGGTTTTGGGGGTTAGGACGCGCCCCAAGAATTAGTCTTACGGGGAAGGTCCGATTTGGAAGTTTCACTCGCGGATCGAAGAAGTTTTTTCTCCCGTCGAAAAGGTTATAGAAACACAGTGTTCCACGAAGGTAACTTTTTGGGAGACCGGAAGTGATCGGCAAGGTTTGGTATCGTGCATTAACAAGGGTTAGTAACCCCGTGTTCTGAGGCGAGGAGCAACACCACGGAAGGTCAGTTCGCTCGTAAAGAGGAACGACTGGTCTCATTGTGCCGAGCGGTCTCCAGGCGGCGGATTGGACGCTGATCGGGGATTACGGATAAGCGTCGAAGGGGACGAGAAATCAGGTGATAGAGAACTATTTCAGTCATTGATATAGTAATAAGGAACGCTGTATGGGGGAATTGTGGCGGTTGTGTACGCGTCGGTCAGGGTCAACGAGTCCATTCGGGGTTGTTTGGGGAGGAGACGTTCGGAATTCCGTGAGACAACATTGTTTTGGACATTTGCGAAATATACTGTACCTGTATGTCTCTTGAAGACATTTGTTTAAATTAAATGACAGGTTAGGTGTTTCCAAATATGCAATGCAGAGTTTATTCATGCATATACTGAGATTTTCTAAATTCGAGTTATGAAATAGTCATTAGTAAATGTTGTACATTTTCCACTCATTCCCATTCACTTTCGTATTCATTCTTTAAAACAGATATGAATTGTTGACACGTTAAAAAACACCGTATATTTAATTATAATACTGTACCTGTATGTCTCCTGAAGACATTTGTTTAAATTAAATGACAGGTTGGGTGTTTCCAAATCTGCAATGTTTATTCATGCATATACTGAGATTTTCTAAATTCGAGTTATGAAATAGTCATAAGTAAATGTTGTACATTTTCCACTCATTCCCATTCGCTTTCGTATTCATTCATCAAAACAGATATGAATTGTTGACACATTAAATAACACTGTACATTTAATTTTCATAATGAAGCGCACTTCTTAATTACTGGTTTCGCAAATAATTAATTATTTGCGCCGCTTAAATACCGCATTGTTTGAGTTCAATTATTACTTTGATATAAACTGTCACAGCTTGTTTCAAGTAGCGAGTTATTTCACGCATTATTGATCATTCGTTGTTTAAATAAAAAGCGCCGAACGCTCGACCAATTAATTTTCCTACACTGTTGTGATACTATATAATAACACAGTGAATGAAATAATAAGGAATAAAGTCAAACTCCAATGGTAGCGGACATATTAAAATTACCGTATTTGGAACAAAATTAATTACCAAATGAGATACATATAGTCATTAAAGTAAAAAATTTTGTTGGTTTGCATATAAACAAAGCGGATCATAAAAATTATTGCAACAAAATACAATGAAAATATATTTAAAATAAAAGCCCACTAGAGCCATTAATCTTAAAATCACACTCGAGGATAAATAATTCTTTGAAAAATATTTCACACTGCAAGATTAGTGTACTTGATGCATGTTTCTCTGACTGGCAACCTTTTCTTAGTCTTCTCGAGGTTAAGCACATCTGAAATAATCACTTGGGTAAACCGAGGAACAGTATAGTCTTTCTTCTTTTCCTCCAGCTCCCCTCGGAGTGGGTCGAAAGTTGAACAAAGTTGGGCAATAGTCCGCAAAGTCTCAGGCTTGTTTTCAACCAAAAACACGGGAAACTGGAGGAGCACTAGCCGCGGGCGAGGCTCGTTTCTGTTTTCCTCGGTGCTCTTTGAAAGTATTCGCTGTAACGTGTAACAAAGTTCAACCAGGAAATCCGTTAATCCCGTTTGGACGGCTCTGATCAATGGAAAACAGTTTTTGGCCGAAGTAATCGAATTATATTCGTATGATACAAACAAAATTTGTTGATGAAATTGATATTTAAGCTTTTTGGGAATATTAACACATGTGGACGTTTGCTTTTATATTGAAATCATCAAGACTCGCGACGACGATACTTTTTAGAATTAAAGTATATACTATATCAAAGTGAAACAGTGTATTTATATGTCAAAATTGATTTAGAAACGAAGATTGCTCTGATTTGTGTATATTTATTCAGAGCAAAAAAAGTCCATTCAAATGTTCCGTCCCTCAAGAGCACAAATAGTGGCTTTTATCAGTTTTCGTAGTATTCTGTAATAATTTTGCTTCTTCTGGGTTATTTGGACTCCTACAAGTCACAACTCTAAGCAATTTTTATTACTAATTTTGATTTCAACTCGAGTCTAACAAAGATCGTACGTGATATCGTAACCAGTGTGAACCATTCCGTAACTTAAAGCTAGCGAAGCAATTTTCACTTGTAAGCGAGCACCACTGTCGCTTACAAAATGTACAGAATGTTAACTGTCAGCTGGAACACGGAGTATCTAATTGCGAGGGTTTATGTGTTCGCAGAAGCGTTGGGAGTGCCGAAGTAGTTCGTATGCTTCGGTCAGCATCGAGGATTCGAGTAAATCAGGATCTTTGACAACGTAACCGGGACCTGGGGGACTCAAACTACCTGAAACGTACGTAATACACGAACTGCTGGGTGTCGGAGCTGAAACCAATCCTGATCGGTGCACGTGTCCACGATACGAATACGCTCGAACAGCATAGATGCACAGGTAAGTTTGTGTGTGTATCTGTGCGACAGGGCGGGCGGGGAGGGAGGGAGAGTAGGTTGGATGCGTCGTGATTAAAAGCTACCGACGCTGATCGTATATTACAGTCGCCGTGGATGTGGCGTCGCTTAAATAGTCGCTGGTGAACGGTCCACGATTATATGCATTCAGGGCCCTGAGTAATCGAATTGGGAATGGGTTGATAATACTAATTTTTGGGCGAATTGGATGGGATTATGGATTTAAAAAATTGAAAAATTAAAAGTCGATATTTCAGGATTTATTAGAGAGGGAGTGGAAATTCTTTGTTAGGAGAAATTCAAGATTAATGGTGGAAGCCAACAAATCTAAATCTAATCTTCTTCGTGGTTAGGTATGTGAATATATTCTTAGAAATAAAATGATTGATAAATGAGAAGTGAAGACACTTTTCTTTGTGTAACGCGATATTAATATAAATTCGCTATAGTAACACGTGTGTGAATACCACATTGGAAGTAATTATAGTAATGGTAGCAATAAATCCACTTGGAGAATGTTACGATGTAATGTAAAAATTGCAATGTGGGGAAACCTAGTTTAAACGCTGGGTAAATAATGACACCATAAATATACTTTACGATCTTTCCACGCGCGATATTATGAAATTGCGGTGTCATCGTAAGAGCAATCGCCGACGATTAAATTGCCTTCAACATTCACGAATATTTATATTAAATATTAGATTTCTTGATTAGTGACAAGTGTTGTTCGCGTCTCGAAGGAATCGAAACAATTGATAAAATTCATATAATTAAAATAGTTTCTAAGTTTTTCATGTTTTCAGATATATGAACAAACTGAAGCTCCAAAAAGTAGATCTAAAAAGCTTGAATCACTTATACTGTCAATTCCATTCAAATATACGTGGTCCACTCGTTTGTTGTTGGTCCATTTATTAGAATCTGTGTGTAGAGTGAACGAATTAACACATCTCGCTGGTATACGCATTCGAGAAGATTTATTTACTTAAGTAGATGCATTCCAAATACCCCCATTATCCACCTAAAACAATAGTTTGCTGCGTTAGAATTCAAACATTGCACATACGAACATATATGTACCAGAGCATAATATTATGCAGGGCCATCACAAAGTCATTCATACGTATGATGTATTACATGCATGAGTTTCCCTGGATATTGAACCATAAATATTCATGTTATAGAGATCGTTAGCATGAAAAATTAGACGTGTATTTATGAGACCAATTATGGCATTCAATTTTGTGGTTTATTTCAAATTCCGATTGAAAATTGACGAGTTGGAATCATTTAATAAATATTTCTTTCTCGTGAAGAATTTCTTTCTGACTTTTTTATTTCGTTTCTTGTATATAGAAGTTGACTCGAAGTTGGAAATATCCACGTTATCTTCTGCTTCCGTCGATGAATAAAATACATCGAATGTTTGATCGCTAACAATGGCTATCTATATTTGAAGATACTCTCCTTCTCTGGGTCATGTTGCACTTGCATCAGTGAACAGTAATTAATTAGTGATTAGCTACTCGCCGTGGCGAGTGGCCAACGATCCTACCTCGAGCAAATATTGAAAGGAATTTCCCATTCGACTTTCGTCGATATCCGATGCCTGGTGTTGATTTTCGATATTTTCGTGCAAATAGTTGAAATATGGGCCTGTGCTAAGGAAATCTTGCATGCTAGCATTATTTTATTTTTACAAATTAAATTATGTTCCACAGAGTGAAGGAGTAACCCTAAAATATCTTCACTATTTTAAACAACAATAACATATTAACACTACCTAAACTTGGCTTGAGGATAATTAAAAAATAAACACTTACTGATCGAGACAAGCACCCGTATTTCATTAGCATTTCCCAGAGTTATGTCCATCAATTTTTTAAACAATTACAGGGGCCTATTTTGACCGATAAGGGTTTATTTTTAAACCTCGGAGCACACAGGAGATTTTCAGATCACCATGAATCTTACAAGAAAAGTATCCAACTCGTTTATAGTAGAAAACGTTCAAGTAAATTTAAAAATGCTACTAAAATGCTACCCCAAAACTCCGATAAAGTCGCAAGATACATCTGTGTATTTGCAATAAATATCTCTCGATATTTTAAACGATGCCTTTCAAACAGCCACAGAGAAAATTGTCCAGCGGAGTTGCATCAATATTCTCGCTCTGCCGTTTCGATGACACTGGCAATAAATACGTACAAAGTCCAACCCCTTCCGCTATCGAATATCGAAGACTCCTGTAACGACACTATTCAATACCATTCGATAATACCACGATTTTCATGTACGTTTCAACCGGATCGCGATACTACCTAGAAGTGATCCACTTTTTTTCATCTTTCGAGCCATTCTATAAATTAGACGCGTGTATTTCATTTGCATTGAAACTATTTACAACCGTCCGACGTATAACAGGACTTTGAAACCCAGTGGGGCGTTTGAATCACATCTGGACTGTATTTAGTTCTCGCAAAGAAAAATTATTCAAATGAGCGTCGAAGAAACTCATTTGGAGCATCGCATTCCGCGTGAGTTTGAAAGGGGAACACTGCCAGGATTTCTGGGGAGAACGTTGAAGAAATATACAGAAAAGACGATTTAAGTGAAAAAGTGTCGCTGCTGGCTCTTGGCACCCCGTAAAGTCACATTCCCACGCGTGAAACGTCCGACGTAATTAAATTATTCAGCACTATTGAGCACGCTTATAGATACAGCTCGAAATATTCGTAGATACTGGTTGCTTGCCAAAGTCACTTGAAAGCGGAGTAACAGTCTTTATTATAAGAGTATTTAAGAGTTTGGACAAGATACATTGAAAATGGTCGCAGGAATTCGACGACGAAGCACTCGAAGCTCTTACCTGATGCAGTTTTATTTAGTGGTGGATGCAACCGCAGAGAAAAATGAGTTTGTCCATTTGGCGCAATTTATAATCAATTAGAAGAAATGGCAGAAGTGATCAAGCCCGGTGGACGGATACAGCGAAGGAACGTTTGCGGTGCATTAAGGAGAGGACAAATTAATCGACCATTTCAGGAGCGCATTGTCGCTGGAAATGAAAAGTGGGTATTCATGGACGATCCACAAAGAAGACAATGGGTCATGAGAAGACAATTGGAGGGGTGCCATTGCCATGTTCAAGGGCCGGGGAACCTGGCGAAGACTTTATTGCGCTGTTGTCGAACTTTCGTACTTTGGAGCACTTTAAATCTCGAACTGGGGATGCAAGTGAACAGTCGGTCGAACGATATTTATCGACGAAGTTTATTAAAATTTTGAGTGTCCTTGGAAGTGCCTAAAGGGATAAATAATTACGTTAAAGTAAAATACACGTGTGCATATTTCTGATATACTTTATATATATATATATATTTTGTATATATAATGTATATTCAGAAACATCACAGCTCTCATTTAATTTCATTTAATCTGTACCGAAAAGTATCTCAGGCTTATATTTAACCGAAATTACAAAGACATCGATGCTTTTTTAAATCGTATGGGGTATTTTCATTATTGTAACGGTGTAGCTAACACAAAGACAGATTCTAACATGTATATATATCTTCATCTCCAGATGAACTCGTGTGAAGTTAATCCAAAAACTCAATTCCATTTAAAAAATCATTGATCCCGTTGAAATTTTGGAAAATATAATCTTTGAAATAATTTTTTTGCCTACATTGTACGCCCTCCATCAAACTTTTAATAAGATCTTTAATATTTAAGAAGTTTACTGCGACACCCTGTGTATAAAATTATACACGCAACCCCAATATAACTTGTTGTTTACTACAAAAAAAAATATAGGAAATATCGAGTACCCCAAAATTCACCTTGTCCATCGCATTCAAAATCTCTTATCATCTTTGATGCATTTACTCGAACAAAATAATTTCGTTCCCTAAAAATTTTGCTATGAGACGCCCAAGGCGCGGCTTCCTGTCGAGATAAGCCTGTATATCAGGTTTACGAGGCGTGCATCCGCGCGCGAAGGGGGCGCGACCGCGCCATTTGTCGCGGACGCGGATCGCCGCCGGTCCAGGAACTTAAATCGGCCGCGACAATCCCGCTGAGATATCGTCTTGGCTCCCGATAGGAGATGACCTACGCCAACGGCAGCCTTTAATATCGCGAGGATGCGAGCTTAGCGGAACGGCTCGATGAATAGGGCTGGCTCTCAATCGACTGCTTCTCTCGAGGCGCTTTCTCGTTAAGAAGCCGCGCAACGGCGCCGGGTTGACTCTGTGTTAAACGAAGGATACTTTTGCCGTTTTTCTTTTTCCCACCTCCGAGGAGAACAAAAATGACAAGGGAGGATTGTGCTCCGTTTGCCTCTACTTCTCCTTTGCCTTTTCGCGCCCATGGCGGTGCTCGTCGACCATTATCCCCTACCCTCTTCCCTCGCCTCGGCAGCCATTAGTTACTTCTGGGATTGTTCCTGGAAATGAGAAATACTTGGCGCACGTGCGGGTTCCTAACTGGTTGCTTTCTAATATGGCGGTCATTTGGCGCCGTTTTGTGACTCTTGGGTTGGCCATCAGAGGGCTGGTCAAGTGGTTTAATTGGTTTTCTATTTGGAGATGAATGAAGCTTAGATAGAGTATTACTAATAGTCGAAAATATTCACCTTGCTTCTATTTTCCCGATTCAATGGTATTTAATTTATGGAAAAATCATTGTCTGTGAGGTTATGACAGTCATTTGGCGCCATTTCGCGACTCTCGAGCTCGCGCCAGCAGAGGAATGGTAGCTGGTAACCTAGGCGGAGTATCATAAAGAGTTTAAATTTGACTTCCTTGTTTCTCTCGAAATGAATGGCATTTAATTTATGAAAAGATGATTCTGCCCAAGGTTTGCCATGTTTAATCGTGTAACCCAGAGTTGCGTGGAGTGGCTAGAGGTCTGGTTGGAAGTTTTGATTATTAAAAGCGAGTGAATTTTGCACTTTCCAAACTAATATCAGGAAAG